ACTTGACGCTGGGACGGCTCGAATGACACACGAAACGGATGCGCTTTAAGGTATACGCGCAGAGCTGGCAGAGCTGCGAGGCAAAGACCATCGCCCCCGCTTGGACATCTCTGCACTACCTACGACTTGACGAGGGATAATTTACTCACGAGTCCGCTTTTAGCTCCCTGGCTCAAGTATGCGAAAGAATTTCATGCACGCAACCCCGACAAGATGTCACCAATGACCACACTATCCAATGCAGAGAGCTGGCAAAGGTACTTGAGACCGGACTGGATGTTGATAGAACGAAGGGCATTGCCACAAGACTGAAGAACGAGTTATTCGCGGAGTGGGGGGCACAGAAGCGTACACCCGACTTTCTATTTGAAGGCTGGCTACACCTATCATTCGACAGAAACTCCCCGAGTCTTTCGGATCCGGTACTGAAATTCTGGATTCGCTTTATGAATGAGTTCAATACGAAACACCCAGGGGAGAAAACAACATTGTTCGATACGCTCGGGCGTCATTTCGATGATGGTGTCATAGTAGAAATGCTCGTCGATGCCAAGAGGGACCCGACCACAAAAGCTTTGGCTGAAAGTTTGGAATCACTGCTGCTTTCTACATGGCTTGAGTATAGGTTGAGCCCGTTGGTCGTCCGATATCGGATGCACGCAGGTGATACACGTGAGATAATGAAAAAGCAGGGCATGGGAAAAATAATAAAATATCATTATTATGGGTATTATATTTACGGAATAACTGATTATTGCTTAGGGGTGTATTGGAATTATTAGTACTGCAAATTTAAAAAAAGAAATAAATCTAGATTTAACAGACTTACAAAAAACAAAGTAAACATATTCTAATTGCATAATAACAGTATTTTTTGTACGGAATTATTTATTATTGAAATCAGTTTATTATAATCTTTATTATCGAGCGAAGTTTTCAGCAGTATAATAAAAGATTTAATTTCCTATGCCCTGTGAAAAAGTACGAGAGACTATTTAAAGCAAAGTGGTCAGCTGAATTTTAGACGTGACATGAGACTGAGCTACCTGCAATTTTAGTACAGCGATCTGCGAGTGCATGAAGGATCCAACTCGCTTTAGTTGGTGATACATTAAATTGCCTACATCTTCGTTAATTTTAATCTGCAGGTTCTCTACGAGCCGCAAGTTAGACTACGACCACTAAATTAAAAAAATCTCGATTTGATAGTACAACGACTGTAGTACATAGTATTACTACTAGTAGTATAGGTACTAATACCTCCATTTAAAAAAAATAACCCCCCCTAGCTAAGGTACTACCTTCGTTCGGAAATAATGACTGTTAAAAAAAATCGTGCATGAATCAACACATCCTGGGTTGATTGTACAGAAACGCCCAAATACGGCATACGGACTGGCTGAAACTGGTTTCATTAGTGGGAAAACCATGTTTGGACTCGGTGTGTTTCAAATGTATGGTTCACTGGGTTTTGTACCGTTTCGTAATAAATGAAGAAGACTTATTAATGCACAACGTATAGATTCCGTTTTGCGTCCCAGGGTCCAAACCAAACCATTGATTGTGAAGTGCTTCAGAGCCTCCACTTGCAAGATATAGGAACTACTTTAGTACCGTAATTTACTGCATGACGAGCTACACTGCAACACTGTAAAAACCTTTAGATAAAAAGTACGATGGCAAGTTTTGCTGTAATGACACCCCATCTTTAAATTTATATTTGTAAAAACATTTCTTCACATTTCATATACGGTAACTAGCATTTTCTAGTCAGAATTATTTTACCTCGTTAAAAGTGAAAATAACTTTTATTGTGAATTCCGACCATTTTGGTCCTATTCAGTGAGATACTCGAATACAATTTCCTGTTATTTCGAAGCGGCCCAGATCGTACTTAAATGGTCGTAGTTCGTACCTAACTGGAGTCTCTCTTAAGGGAAGTCATAGCAGATTTGCGCTAGCGCTCATTTCAAAGAGCCGCGAACGGGAAATCTCGAGTAGAAACGCACAATAACACCTGTTGCGGGTGAGGCCCGTAAATTACAGTAATTACAGTGACCATAATTTGAAGGGAACAACCAATTATGGTCACTGAGAATTTTAGTACATGTACTGTAAATTACTGTAATTTAACGGGCAACCACCAAAGGGCGCCACCGGTTGCCGGGAAATTCTACTTGCCCGCGCTTGGAGGGACCAGGACCGGCTTCGAGCGGTGTTGCCATTACCGGCCGAAGCCTGGAGAGGGTGGGGAGCTCCGGCCCATGGCTTG